GGGCCGCGCGGGGGAGCGCGGGCCCCCGCGGGGGCATTTCCATGCGCCCGCCAGGTGCTCGGGGCTGGCCTGGCACCGGGCGCATGGCGGGGGGAGCGCCGGCCCCGGGCATGCAGCTATGGGGGGGGGGCGCCCCCGGGGCGCAAGTGTCCCCGCCCCCTGGTGCCCGGCGGGCAAACGGCCACGCCCCCTGGCGCCCGACAACCACAAAAGGTTGGGGACCACTGTTCTAAAGGTTTACTCCTGAGAGGGAACACTCAGGGACTATTTCGGCATGCTAGAAGTAGCCCTAAATAGCAATTCCGTGTCTTTAAATGCACCTGTTATTTGAAAATATATTTTGAAATAACGGGCACGCTATTCCGGCATCCCTGTGACCCTTGTTCCATGATTTGTCAGAATCGCGCTTTATTTTGAAATCTGGCGCTGTATGGATAACGCCAAATTTCAAAATAAGCTATTTCAAGGTAAGGTTGCTGTGTTGATGCACCTGAACGGAGCACTGAGTCCCACTGGGTAGATAGAAAGATTAACCAAAAAATTTATATAGAAGCCTGTGGAACCCCATAAGTTTGGGTCCTTAATCCAGAAATGATTGGAACTCATTTACAAAACTTTTCTTAAAATTACATGAATATATTGTCTCATATGATAGAATCACTATTCCATGATGAGATATCTTTGAGCTATAATGTATCTTAATTAAACTATCTTTAGATAGGTTTTTTTCCTCATAAAGCATTTTATCAAAAATCCAAATTTTTTATTTGTTTTAAAAAAATATTGATTTTTATCCACCCTGCTTTTCAAAGTTGTACATCAATGAGACACAACAAATTAGGACAGGAAGCAAAGAATACCAGATCATTTTGAAAATATAGGGCCAATTTGGGTAGATGGAGCAAAAGAACTAAAGTTTGAATTTGTCCTGGATTGTGGCGCTAACTTTCCTCATGCAATCGGGACTTCGAAAGACAAAACCCCAAGCAATGTAACACCCCTTTACATTATGCTGGCACAATGATTTGTAACTGCCCCACAATCAATATGAATTAGAATCTCTTTCCAATAATATCTTGGGAATAGGTAGCATATTTGTAGCCTTCTTTTTGTAATGGGGGTGGGGTATTGCTGAAAGATTCATGATGCACCTCTATGTTTTCGTGTAATGAGAAATGGGTTTAATTAAAAATGCTTAGCTTTGAATCAGAAATGAATATTTTCAAGCGAGGCTAAATATGTTGCAGAAAGATCTTTTGGCTCATCCAAGCCGCATGTGGCCAGTAACTGCATTGGAAATATCTGTGAATGTCAGCTTTCACTCTGTGCTATATATCTGTTTACTATACAAAGAGCAGCCAAACAAAGACAAAGATGGGTAGGATGCTTCTCATTCACTACTACTGGGTTTTAAAGGGGCAACAAATGAGATTGATGTTAATTTCCAACAGTGACAGCTGTTCATGTTCATCTCTCTTATAGTCAAATGAAGGGGGCTTGGGTATTTGCAGTGTAACTGTAAAGCTCCCTCTCTCTTATTGGGTGTGAGTTGAATTCTGGAAGATAGTGGTGCCTCACCTGGCCCTTCTATTCTTGAGGGGTTTTGATGGATTTTTTTTAGAGCTTCCTTTGCTGGCTCTCTCCAATATGTGTGCGTCTAGACCAGTCTTTCTTAAACTTTTTAAGACTGAGGAACACCCAACAATAATTTTTTTTATGGGGAACACCAAGGATCGTTTTGTTGAACATAAAAAAAAGTTGGTGGGGAAAAAGGGTCGGGGGAAAGTTATTGAAGGAAAAAAAAGGGTCGGGGGAAAGTTATTGAACAAAAACAAAAAATCGCCTGCCCCTTTAAGGGCAGCCATTTTGAATCCTGTTTCCCGTGGCGCACTGGTGGACCACGGAACAGAGTTTAAGAAACACTGGTCTTCTAGACTACATTCCTCTTTCAAAAGAGGAATGCAAATGAGGGAATCGAAAATGCAAATGAACCAGTTAAAAGCAGTTGATGATGATCAAAGCTGTGTAAATGTTAGTTTTCTCCTATGGAAAAAAAAGCCAATTAATATAAGGTTTCTATTAATAAGTAACAAATCACTGTGACACCACATAACAGGTTTTGTTGCAAGTAGGAATTGATAATGCTCATGCACAACAAAAATAACTTTTCTGTTTTAATCAAAAGCAATACTTAAAAAAACCTTTTCTTAATAGAAATCTTATATTGTTTTTTTTTTTCCATAGGAGAAAACTGACATTTAGACAACTTTGATCATCACCAACTGCTTTTAACTGGTTCATCTTCCCCTTCTTAAATTACAACCGTTAAATCCTAGATCCTTCTAGTGAGTCCAGCCATGTCACCAGCCCTCACCCGTCTTTTCACTGCCTCTTATCCTTTTTCACACTAAGGGCATGTCTGCATTAGGAAGTTATTTTGAAATAACTAAATTTGAAATAACTCCTGAAATAACAAAATTGAAATAGCATGTCCCCACCATGGAGGAGCCTCTAAATCAGTCCAAGGTAGGTTCTGTTATTGTGAATGTGCTACCTCAACTTCGAGCCCCACGAAGCATTGGGGAGTAATTACTTTGAATGATTCTGGGGAGTAGTTATTTCAAAAGAGCAGCAGTGGAGCATCCGCTCTGCCTCTGTTTCAAAATCACTATTTCAAAATAAACATTACTCCCCAGAGAAAGCAGGAGTACACATTGTTAAATAACCAAGCCCTTATTTCGAAATTACGGGTTTGGAAGCGTGGACACTCCGCTTATTATTTCAAAATAAGGGGGGTTATTTCGAAATAATTTCCTAGAGTAGACCAAGGCTAAGTTAATAATTTTCATCCTCACCTTCATGATGCTGTACAGCTCTGCCCCTTCCTACACCGCCACCCTTTCTTCCACCTAATCCCTCTTCTGCACATCACTTTATTGCTCTCTATGTCCCCTTCTTCCAGTCTTCTACCACCGTGCCTTTTATTTCTAATAGATCGTTTCTTTTTTTTTTTTTTTTTTGTAGGTATGTCGTGTTCCTCAAGACATTTTTAGAAACTGCAGAGATGTACTTTATGGTTGGACATAAGGTAAACTATTACATTTTCACAGACAGACCACAAGAAGTTCCTAAAGTTGAGCTCAAAGAAGGAAGGAACGTAGTAGTTCTGCAAGTCCAAAACTACTCGAGGTGGCAAGAAATCTCTATGCGACGCATGGAAATGATCAACCACTTCTCTCAGAAGCAGTTTATTAATGAGGTCGACTACCTTGTGTGTGTTGACGTAGACATGAGGTTTAATGACTTAGTTGGAGTAGAAATCCTGAGCAACTTGTTTGGCACACTACACCCAGGATTCTACGGTTCAGAGCGTCGGTCTTTCACCTATGAACGTCGACCTGCTTCTCAAGCTTATGTGCCCCATGATGAGGGTGACTTTTACTATGCTGCAGCATTTTTTGGAGGAACAGTAAAGGAGGTTTACAAGCTGACCAAGAAATGCCATGAAGCCATCATGGTGGACAAAGACAATGGAATTGAGGCAATATGGCAAGAAGAGAGTCACTTAAACAAGTATTTTGTTTACCACAAACCAACTAAAATACTTTCCCCAGAATACCTGTGGGATGACAGTCTAGGTAGGCCACAGATCCTTAGGAAAAGAAGGTTTCTTGCTGTACCAAAGGACCATGATGCAATCAAAAATAAATGAAGTTTGTGACAGCCCCTCTCCCCCATGTTTATGAAGTTGATTTATGGATACAAATATGTGTAGCTCGAAAGTGCTTTGGACAAAATACCACGTGTAACCTATCAATTTTAAGGTCACAATCTGCTGGATCTGACCTTTATCTTATTTTCGTGCATGTATCATTCTTGTATGTAAAGTTAGAAATGTGGAGTATGGAAAGGCTTATGGTAGAGGTCAGCAACCTATGGCTTGCGAGCCAAATATGGCACACTAGGGAGCCAGATATGAGTCTTTTGAAACTCAAGCCCACCCCCTTTTGCTCCCCATGCAGCAGGGAGTCTGTTGGTGCTACAGCAGGGCTGGGTGAAACAATCCGGCTCCCAGACGTAGCAGGGACTCCCCTGCTTGCCCCACCCCCACATGATGCTCAGAAAAGCAGGTGAGGGGCTGTTTGTGTTCCACAAACTGTGAGCCTGGAGGGGAGGGGGCGTGGTTCTTCACGGCTGCTCCCGCCCCAGCACAATCCCATTGGCCAGTTTTTGGCCAATGGAAGCTGCCTGTTTCAAGAACAGGCAGCCAGCTAAGCACCACTTCCCCCTCCCCTCAGGCTCTTATTCACAGAGCACATCGTCATGCTGCTTGTGTGTATACTTGCAGCATGGTTCGTACAGCAGGGCCCTGATCTCAGTTGCAGCCTGAAATGAGGGCAATGGTCACAGACTGGACATTCCCCCAGGGATCAGAGTGCGTAGAATGAGGAGCAAACAGGTCATGAGTTCACCTCCAGTCTGGCACCTGCTTGTCAGTGTGAACGGACATGTGGTCCAGGGGAACTCAAGGCTTCTGCTTCCTGCGGCGGACTGAAGAGCCGACGGGGGTGATGTAAGATTCCAACTGGAGAGGCGGCCACGGCTCTGAGAAGAGGGGAGGAAGGTCGCTCCCTTCGCCGCCCGCAGCAAAGCGGGGACCTTTCAGCTTTCGGACAACAGCGACCCCTAGTGGCGAGGAATCGGTTCCCTGCCTCGCTCCCCTCTCGCTGATTTCACACTGTCAGCAGGTCTGGGAGCGTGCCCCCGGCCCTTCCCCTGGGACAGGCCCCCCCCCGCGGCCACAGCCCAGCAAGGCCGTTTGCAATTGTTCCCCAGCCAAGGCGCTGGTTCGTGGCTCATCGAAGACGGAGCAAGAGCTAAATGCCCTGTAACCAAACGCTCCTGCCAGGGATGGCCCCTTCTAGGGCCAGTCTAGCTTGGACAAGGCAGAAGCCCTGTGTGCCATCCCCTGACCGGCCAAGGGGAGGCCATTGCCCCACACCTCCCCTGGCTGGCCCGGCTGCAGCTTCTGGGTCCCAAAATGGGGAGGGGGCAGGGTAGAGAAAACTCTTCAATACTCGCGCTCAATGGCAGGGAGCTA